GCACTTAGAGAGGGAGTTTTATATAGTTGGGAATGGAAAATGACCGTGCAGTGCAGGGGAGAGGGGGTGTGCACTTAGAGGGGGTTGACTGTAATAATTTATGATAATGATTCATAAATCCAGATACAGTAGCAGCATCAGATTTTTTGAATAGTTAATTTGGATTCTTTCGCATATCAAAGAAATTGTTGGTGCAAGTCCAAGTCGTGGAATTATGGATGACTTATGTTATGGTTACTGAACAACATATTTAGCAAGTACATTCATCATAATAAACTAGTATTATTATAACAGCATCGGAAGAATTGCATGCAAAGCTTAATTTGATGGAGAGTTTTGTGGAAACAATTAAACACTATATTTAATTCAATTACAAGACATGGTGGTCCATTCATTGGAAATTCTTGTGGAATACTGAATGTATTATTAGAGTTTTTTAATTATTATTTATTATCATCGTTGTCATTATTATTTATTTTCATGATTAATAAAATAAACAAATGGATATAATACTATTAACGGTATAATAAGTTCAACACGAGGTAGGCATGATACCATAAATAACATTGCTTCAGATACTTTAGTAGGTGGTCTTTAAATATATAGTTAAATATTGTAATTTTTTAATTATTTCTAATTTTATTATTTTATCTATTTATCAATTAAATATATTTAAAAAGAATTTGTTGAATTGCATGATCTCTCTCTAAATCAGAACATGAATGGTGAAATCTCAACAAATAAATCTGAACCAATAAAACGAACCTTCTACTGCTTAGATCATAATGCAAAAAAATATCCTAGTATTCTGGGAATTGGCAGAACTTATTTTGATAATATCATCTCACCATGGTAATGCTAAAAATGCCTCATTGAAATGCAGCTCTTTTGGTAAGTAGTAATTTACATATATGTTTATGTTTGTATATTAGGTTAATATTTTATTTATTCAATTATGTTTATATATAGAAATGCAATTTATTGAATATGCCAAAACTGATCCTTACAATCTATTTATAGAAGAAAAGAATCATTTACCTGCTCAATCAGGAGAAATATATCATGTTATAAATAATGAAGATGGCAGTAATGACCATAATAAAATTGGCAAATCATGCATAGTTAAAAAAGTTAGATCAAATAACTGTAATGATGAAAACATTTATGCTGCTAAAATTATCAATGTCAATAATGGAAAATATGACAAAAACAGAATAATTGAATATAGAAATGAAATTGATATTTTTGAAAATATTGGACCATGAGAATATTATAAAGGTAGTTGATGATTATTTGACAAGGAGAATATTTTGCCCTATTTTTGTGGAGGATTATATTAAAACATTAAATGGTTTTATAAATTTCCAATGTTGGAAAAATTTTGCTTTCCAAATTTGTTCAGCTATAAAGGCAAGAACATTTTTATTATATTTTTATTAATATTGTATTCAAATATTACATTTAATTTAATTTGCAATTCGTGATAAACGGAAAGGATCGACATACATTTTTAATATGTAGTAAAATGCGGGATAATAAACATAATAAAATTAGTAAAAATAATATTGAGCTGATTTTAATTTTTAAAAATTTTAAAATGACTAAACATCCCAATTTAACTGTAAATCTCATTTCAATAGGCCAAATAAAGCCACACTTGCACTATGACGTAGATTCTAGAGAATGGTGGGTTATGAAATGTAAAAGTAAACCAGAAGAAGGTGCGTTACTTTATCCAAGGAGAGTTGATTGGGAAACAAGCATAGAACAAAATGGCAGACAATACTATACATGTATTACTGAAGGCAATGAAAATAGTAATTTATTACCAGGATATAGATGTCATTCTGGGTGCAAGTTTAGTGATATAGAAGAAGCACCAAGTAATGCAATAACAAGCTTATATAAAAGACTAAATCCTAATTCAAATACAAATTTTTCTGGTCCTTTGGTTTTAGGTTGGGATAACGAAGAAATATTGGAAGATTCACTGAAGGATATAGATTTTCAACCTTTTGCTATAAAGTTGGACAAATTTTTAATATATATTATAGATATTGGCATGGGAGAAGAGAGTGATTTTGGTGTCAAAATTGGTTATACTTCTTCATTTATAGGTGAATATAAGAGAACATATGCTTTGTTTATTCAAACTGTTGAATATGACCATTGCAAGATTTCTATATATATGGATAATATTGAATCACCAGTGTTTTTCTTTGGCTCTACACCATCAGAAGTATGGGAAAATACAAAAATTTATAAAAAATTCACTGGAATGCAGTTGTTTGGATTGGAACATCCAATGACCAAACAAAATATTCAAATTGAAAAAATTCCTAGATGCACACCTACATCTTGGAATAATAAAAAAATTATGGATGCTATTTTCAATTATCATTTGAAAAAAAGAACTCTTTCTAATATTGACTGGGAAGAATTTTTTCAATCTTGGCTAGAACAAAAAAGCACAATTATTGAACTGCATGAAAAGTTAAAAAATTTATATCCATACAATCATGAGTTTAGTGAATGTGAAATGAGAGCATGGCATGCAATGTTGAGGGCTACTGGATGTACAGAAATAACACCCGTTTCAATAGACAAGTTAGAGGTAATTTTTTATTCAGTTTTTATTCAAACTCATAATTTTCAAATGTTAATAAGAATTGCATTAGTATATGCAAAATCAATCTTGAGCCAGAATTTAAAATCACCTTAAAATTATCATTGATTTGAACTAATACAAAATTTTTTGATGAATTTAAGCATGAATTTTGGTCTCGAAGCTCTGATCCATCAGTTGATCAAGATACCTTGGAGTTTTTAAATAGTAATGGCTTTTTGAATGTGAAAAAAAAAAAGATTACACTATAGTTGATATTTTATGGGAATGTTTTAATAAATCATTGGAACAAAACAAAACAGGTTATGATGGTAAAATAAGAATATTGTCAATAATTGCAAGTGAATTTCAATATGAAGTACTTCAAAGAAAACTCAAGGTAATTTTATTTTAATATGCCTATTTGAACTACATTTTATCATTGTTTTGTATCAATGGTGACATTGAACAATGCAATGTTGATGGCCAAATGAATTAATGAATTAATGATGGTTGTTATAATTAAAGAGTTCTCCAAAATATTTAAATCCTGCAGATTTTGATAACTAGATGATGATTTTTTGTTAGAAATAATTTTTAAAGAACTTTAAAAATTTTGAGTAACTTCATTAGGATTAATATTGTTTAATAACATCATACTTTGATGTTGATTATTTACAATAAAGTATATCCAATTAATTTGTTTTTCCATTGAATTTTAAATTATTCTGTCCATTGAATCTTGTTATTTCATTAAAAAAAAACATCATTAGTATCACAATCCATTAAGTTCATTAGGATGTACATAAACATATTAATATTCTTATTGATAGTAATGCCATTAATGATAATTTATACTTATCTGAATAAAATAGGTCTCATCTAAAACAATATCCAAAGCAAGATTACATTTCAAAGTTAATGGTCCAGGATGTGCAGTAACTGAAAAACCAACAATTACAAGAATTCGAATTACAGAAGAAGCTAAAAGACAATTTGAAATTTTTTTTGTAAAAATATTGTCAATTTAAGTTCTTACAGAGTAAATAAAAAAACTGGTGAACCTGCAAAATATTTGAAAGATCAAAAAGAAACATTGTGGAGAAAATACTTTGAACAACATCCATCTGGAATGAAAAGAACAACATTTTTAACATGCTTGAATGATGGTTCTTTTGTATATAAGGAAGATATGGGGGTTTGTGTGGCATTTGTTTTGAGTATGGGTATGGTGTATTTGATGATGTGAAAACCCTAATATTAGGGAAAATAAATGAAAAAGGTCATCAGGTGAGTAAATGCTTTATAGTAGTTATAATTAACAATCATATACTGAAATAATTTCATATACTGTTAGAATCAATTAATTGCAGAACTTGAATCCATCCAACATCATTTAAAATGTGAATATGAAAAAGAACTTGAAGTGTATTGCCTAGGACACACTTATCATGTTGAATGTCTTGAGCATTGCCTTCCATATGCTTTTGGACAATGTACCAATTCCCATATTTCTAATTGTAAACAATGCAATAAGATATCAAAATGGTTTCATCAATTAATGCAGGTTATGCCAAATGATTTAGAACAAATTATTAATAACAGAAATAAGCTTCAGTATTATTGGTCACATCAGGCAAGAAAGACATACCTTAATGCTCAATTTAATGCTAACTTGCTTTCTCTTGATGATGAGGGTGCAATCATTGTAGTTGATTATAAAATGAAGATTTTACCACAGTCAGCTCGTGAAGCAAAATCTGATTTTTATGGGAAATCTGGATGGACTCTACATTCAATGTTAGTGTATACCAAACATAACAATGATTTAGAAATTCAAGCTTTTGATCACTGGTCCTCAGATACAGCCCAAGATGCTTGGTTTACTGCCTCATGTTTTGAAGTTGTATTTAATACTCTTGAAAAAAAACCAAAGTGGATAAAAATTCTATCTGATAATGGTGCACATTATCATTGCTCTGAATTAATGGCTATGATTTCAAATTGGAAAATTTGGTATGGGGTGGATGTTCATAGCTGGACTTTTTTGGAAGCAGGGGAAGCCAAAACAACAATAGATTCACATCATGCTCAGGTTTATAATTAATTGCTAATAATAAATTCATTATAAATAAAATTAATATATAGTAATAAATTTATTATAAATAAAATTAAATGCTTGTCTTTTCCTTAATTCCACAGATATCACATGCAATTAAAAGATATGTTAGTCTTGGACATAATATATCTGAAGGAGAAGATATAGTAAAAGCTGCCAAAATGATTAAAGGAACATCAATTGCAAATATTGAGCCTGATCGTAAGCATAAAGAAGGAAAAAAACCTGTAATTCCTGGAATCTCAAATTGGTTTGAATTCCAATGGCCAGTTGAAGGAGAGTTTTCTGGTTTTATTCATGGTAGAGCTCTTCCAAATTTTGGAAAATGGAATGATTTCTCTCCTGAAAACATTCATAAATCAATGAAAGGAGGTGAACAACATAGGCCAAATCCTCAAATTTCCACACATACTGACTCCCAGGCTCAATGGATAACACCAATGCCATCAACAGGTTTGAATTAGTAATTTTTTCTAAATAAAACAATAAATAAAAATTTTTTTTTATATTCTATATTTAAATATATTAAAATATATCATCATTAAAACCTGTCTCTCAAATTACCACTTATTCTTTAGAACCAGGTATAGGATTGGATAAATTAAAGAAAGATGATATTAAAAAAATGTTGGATCAAAGAGGCCTAAATTATGATGAAAAAAATAGTCGATTGGATTTAGTTGCACTTTTAAGA